GCACCTCCTTCATCGCCTGTAACAGTTACAACTTCACCTAGTACAGATCCATGGTCACCAATACCTTCTAGTAGTACTACTGCTACTGAAGTTGATACAAATAAAAACAAGTAAGATATTTATTTTTTAATTAATTTTATTATGGTCATTTATATATGCATAATGAATTCATTTAGGCTAGCCGAGACGGTATGACATCTGCTTCTCCATCTTTTAACAATTCTACCTTAACACAAAATATTGGTTTTGCGGCACAATCGCCACAAAATATAGGTTTTAATTTGCCTACGACTTCAAGTGCTACATTCAATACAACTAATAATGACTTCAATGGAACTGGTTCTAGTCTTAACAATTTCCCTATCGGAAATCAAAACAATTCTGTAGCCAGTCCACTAAGCGATTTAGATGAATTTGATGTAATTACTAACAGAAATAAGCCTGGATCTAGTCTGCAAACTGCAAACAATGGTATTTATTAATGAATTATTAATAAATTTATTTATTATTATATTATGTAAATATCTTATATTTCTAAATCTAATTGCAGCAAACACATTATCACCAGATCCATTTGATTTGGGAGGTATTGCTGAAACTCTTCCCACTAGTACAGGAGCTATTAAAAAAACACCACAATCGTTTCTTGGGGAGAATTCTGCTCTTGTTAATCTCGATAATCTTGTCAGTTCTTCTGCGATCAAATCAACAACGCCCACGCCTGCAGGTAACTATTTATTTTAAATATAGTCCTATACCATACATCATATAAAATTTAAAGACATAATTTTTAAATATGAAATATTGAAATCTATAGAACTCATATGCATATATCATCGCTTAATGAGAGAATAAAATTTTTATGATTAGGTTAATTTATTGTAATTTTAATTGAATATATTATGAGTCTTATATGAAAATAAACATTGTGTTATATTATTTGTAATATATTCTGTCTGTAAAACAGCATTTCATTGGAAATAATTTCGTGAGTACTTTCAAGATGTACTTTCAACAATACTGCATGGGTGCATGATTTAATTATGATATTGAAATCATTTCATTTATTATATTTCACATGGATGTTATTTTCAGCAAAAAGAAATATATATTGAAAAAATTGTGATGATATTGTATATATTGTAAAAATGAAATTTTTATCTTTTTTCTTTGATTACAGTTTAATATGTTTCATGTTCGTTTTCATATTTCTGTTATCAGATTTCAATTCAAGTTTTAATAAGTATTGTTAAAACAATATATATGTTAGAAATAAAAATTGTTATTTATAATTTTTAATGTTATTATTATTATAAATTATATTTTTGATTTATTTATATGAATATTGATACACAATTAAAAAATTAAGTACATGACATGGAATATATAATATTAAGCATTATAATTGTAAGATAATATAAATTAATATAAATAAAAATTTACAGCAACAATGTCATACTCGGCAAATCCATTTGCGACGGCAACAACGCCACCTCGTCCTACAATTAATCAGATTCGACAAGATCCTTGGGCAGCGAATACAACTACTACAGCGAATCCGTTCCTTTCGTAGCTTGGTGATAATCGTTGAATGTGTCAGTCGAAAATCAAGAGCACTGTGGTTTAAAACGTATTCAAGATTTTTAACAATAACCCTGTACGGTATAAGTTTCTCACTCGTTACGAAATAGTTTTACTTGAATGATAAATAGATAACAAATGATATCTAATCAAAGTAAAATATTTATTGTGAACATTTTAGTTTTACCTTTCTGGTCTTAATCAATGACAAAGGGAAGCTTAAAAAAATACATTGATATAACTAATTTAATTCTTTTGGACTGATGATAAATAATGTAACAGATAATTATATTTATAAACATTAACATTTATTTCTACATATAATTGAAAGTTTATAACTTATAATATTCATACGAAAGTGTTAATATGTGTTATAATTATATTATTTATATTTTATTACATATTAACGATAAAGAAAAAATTATTTAAGAAGAGAAGATAATATATAATAAATAAAAAATTAAGAAAGAAATCATATTTCAATTTTGAACATTTAAATGCTCCCAAGGTATAACTAAATTTTATAAGAACTTTTTCCATTTATAATATATTTTTTAAGTGCAACTCGAATTGGTAATAGGAGATTATTGAATAAGATTTTTATTGTGCTGTAGATTATAATTGATTAATTGATATCACGATTATTTCTTTTATTTTATATTTATATACATGCTTTTCTATAGCTAACGAGATTATGAGACTGTAATCGTGATTTGCAGGAGTAAATTATATCGAACAGGGTTCTTCCAATTTATGTTTTACGCTTAATGTGACATGCATTGATTGTGATTCGTAAAAATATTGGTGTCATGGCATGCCTTTTATGACTAATACTCATCTTGCAAGAAAAATACTAGTAATATATGTCTTTGCTAATTCATTACTTTTCATTATTTAATATCTTGATTACTTGCAGATGAAACAATTGTGTTATGCAATTTATATGCAAAATATTTATATCTTCTAATATCATTGAAGTACATATATATGTATAAATTAAATTTATTTATAAAATTTTATGCATTTGGTTTGGATAATTATTGAAGATATACGCATAGGCTTCATGCACTAAAGAAAACCAAACACAGCCGTAATTAATATGCATTTTTCTATCAATGGATAAATCGATGCGTTTTATTGTTTCATGGAGACTTATTGAAATATAATGTTTATGTTGGTTTCTATAAATATTCTAGAAATTTCATAAAGAAATTCTTTAACGCGGTGTCTTTATTCGTTCGACTGTCAAACTTAATGAACCAACATGAAAATAAAGGGTAATGTGAAGTGCATTAGCTTTCTTTATACGCAAAACGATTTACAATTGTACCTTGATTTATATAAAAAAAAAATTGTAAATATGTTAGCATATTGTTCCCCAACTGTCAAATCTTTTCCTTCAATATGTAGAATATTCTAAAACTTAAAACTAGAAACTAATTATTTCTTAGTTTCTAAGGAAATTGCTGAGTTTATTATTTTATATATTGTGAATATTTTTCACGTTTATGACCATCATTGTGATTTCATAAAGAAAAAATATGAATCACTTCTTTAAGATGGTAGTTGTTAATCAATACATATTTATTAATAACTTTTAAAAAAACTACTTCACTGTTAATCTTAATATAAACTTCAGCATTTCCTTTTTAAGAATATTTATGCATTTTACAATTTTATATAAAAAACGATTTCATACGTTTATTGATTGGCAAAGGGGAACTTGTATTTGTCTGCTTATTCTAAGTAAATTAGACATGAGTTGCACGATTAAAATTCTGTTAAGTAAATATTGCTTAAATAATTCCATTGTATTATTCTTTGTTGTATTAATAATTAATTTTGTTTTATTATGCATTTTCAACATATTCGTTTATATGATTGAAATTGTATAGTTAATTGCGTATTTCTCCAGATGTTCGCGAAATGATGAAGTTAGAATTATAATTATAATAGAATTTAAATTAATTCAAAATTGAAAATATCTTGACTTAATGATTTTATATTCACAGTTTTTATAGAAAAAGTACTGTGTCATATTTATTAAATGTGGCATTTTAATATTATATGTTTTCGAATATTTTTTCTGATATATTCAATGAATGAGAGATATATATTTTTTTTACAATATATCAATGAAAATATTTTATTTTTTTATATTATAATTTTATTTATATGATACAATATACAAACTTCATTTTTACGCGAACAATGGAATATTGTTTAGTTTTTAGAATTGGTGTAAGTGCAGAGAAAATTTAATGAACATTTATGAATGAAATTATATATTTTAGTAGATTATATTATTATCATTATTAATATTATTATTATACAAATAAATGTAAAAATTTTTAATTTTTCTGATTAAATATTTAATTTGGAGATCCCTTGTATATTATCTCTTTTTTATATAGTAAATTTTAATAATAATATATTAAAGTATAATTATAAAATTACTTTAAAATTGCAAAAACTTAAATGCATTATAGTGAAGTTATGAATTAAGTACTATAATTATTGCTTATGATAAATAATTTTTATGTTTTATAAAGAGGAAAAAAATACAAAGTAAAATATTTGTACATTGAAATTATATTTTAAAGAGAAGCTTCAGTTGAACAATTTATATGGGAGTTCAGAACTGGAGGAAGAAAATATGACCGAACTTGACTATGTAATTGTGCTACCTCAGGATCTTCCCTTTCTAGAGTTCTAAGTAATTTTACAAATTGAACTGTACCTATAAATAAAAACAATAATAAATTATAATAAAAATTGTATTCATTTTGAAATGAAAATATATTTATATTTTCTACCTTCTCTACTTTCTGAAAAACCATAGTTCTTAATAACATCCATTTCAATTTGTACAACAATTGGAAAAACAAATTGCATCATTTTCAGCATTTCATTTCCAGAATTTTCTTTAGCTTCTGTAAGTTTTTGAGTATTTTCTGGAGTATTCAATGCTGTCAGAATGTCGGTTAAAACAGCTGAAAGTCATCTTACTTATTATAATTATTGAAAAAAATATTTAAAATATAAAAGCTAAATTGTGAAATTTAAATACCTTTTGCAATTTCTGGAGTAAAAATAGGCAGACCAGTCATTGTTAAGAAGTTTCATATAATTGAAATATATGAGAATGTAAATAATTCAATTCCAAATATATCGATTCGCTTGAAAGAATAGGTTAAAATTTGTAAAATTTTTACAATATAAAATTGTACAAAAAATTATTTTATTTTATAAATATGAATACATATTTATTATTCTTTTATAATATTTTTCTTTTCATTTTTAAAACATATCGTATATAATTTGTTTGTCACTATTCTTGGAACATGTCAAAATATGTAAATAATGTACTTAATTCAATGATTCAACGAAGAGGGCGCTTATGACGAATTTATGTCACTTGTCAACTTATTATTCAATTTCATGACATGAATCTAAAAAATAGAAAGTCTGAAATTATAAAAGAAAGTATATATGTGTTAAAGTTTTTTTTTAGTTATTACACAATGGAAATTTATGTTATAAAGACGAAATATAGTTAATAGTTGTTGAATTATAATATATTAATAAAATAAACAAAATTTCTAAACGATATATCTTAAAGAATACTTTCTATAACCTATTTAAGAAAATAAGTTAATAATATACAAGTAATTTGTAAACGGAAGACAATCTATTATTGAAAAACATATTCATTGACTTTTAATAAGTCTTATAGTACTTTTAATAAATTAGTATATTTAATATTAAAATATTAATAAAGAAAACGATTATTGGAATTAAACTATCATTCAACAAATATTTAAAAAGAACTCCGTAATGTGTTCTGTTCATGATGAAGCATTTTTGCAAATTTTACAAGAAGAAAAAAATATTACAAACTTTTTAGATGCATTTTTTGGATTTTTATATAGATGGTAAGTATACAATATTATAATATAAACAAATATTATTTTTACAATATATAATTTATGATTATTGTAATTTAATTATAGTACAGATTTTTATGTTGAATCGGGACCAGATCAAAAATTTGGTTTTCCAACTGATACAGTAGAAAAACTTGTTTTATATAGTTTTCATAAATGGAAAAATATTTCTAAATCTTCTAATAGAATAGATCTTCAGAATAGTCAAGATATTATTTCTCAAAATAATGATAAAAATCAAGATGAATCAATGACAATAGAAGAAGATTCCCTTATTCCACAAGTAGATCACGAGGTAGAAATTGAAACATATAAAGAAAGTCAAATAACAAATCAACTTGGTCATTTACTTGAAAAAGACAAGACATCTGATAGTTACAATGGTGCAGTGAGAGAAAATTATACTTGGTCACAAACTATTAATGATATAGATGTATTAGTTAAACTACCTAATTGTATAAGAACAGCAAAAGATTTAAGAATTCATATTAATTCAAAAGATATTAAAATAGAAGCTAGAACATCAAGAGTTGAACAGAATCAGGAAATAGAGGAATGTCGCTATTTTGTATGGACCACAATTCTTAAAGGAGAATTATGCTTTAAAATTCGGAAAGATGAGTCAATGTGGAGTATAGTACCTGGACAACATATTAATGTAAGTTAAGATATTTTGAATATATGTAAAATATATATTATAATTTTATTTTATTCATAGATTCATCTTGAAAAAGCTTCTGAGAGATGGTGGGAAGCATTGATTATTGGTGAACCAAAAATTGATATAACAAAAATAGATTGTTCAAGAATTTAGATGAGATGGGATCAGAAGAACAAATGAAAGTTCAAGAATTGATGTGGAATCATCAACAAAAACTTCTTGGTAAACCAACTTCTGAACAGATTGTAAGTATATGAAAAGTTATTTAATTTATAATTACACAATAATAATCACTGAAAATAATATAAAATATTTTTTGTACAGAAAATGGAAAAAGTATTGAGAAAAGCATGGGATGCAAAAGGATCTCCCTTTGAAGGTACTGAATATGATCCTTCAATAGTAAATTTCAATTGATATACTTTTATTACGCATTTTTTATTTCATTAATTGTTATAAATTAATAAATAAAATTCTATATTAAGCTACAGAATTTTGTAGATATACATTTTTTATTTAATTGTAATTATATGTTAAATATTTTATTTTATAAATTAAAATTTGATTATTAATTGTTTATTTGTAATAAATATTTATTTAAAAAAAAATGTATTCTTCAATAAATATATTCTAATATTATGGATATATATGCGTACTTCATATTTTTAATAATGAAAATAACTATATCATTATAATTTAGAAAAAAGAAATCAAAATCTTTATTGAGAAAAGAAATCTTTATTAAAAAAAATTCTTAGTATATGGTACCTAAATTGGTATTTAATATTTGCAATTTTATGAACTTATAGATATATAAATATTTTTTAAATTATTTTTAAATTTTATTGTAATTTATTTTTAATGGATATTATATACAATATTAATTAAATATAAGTAATATTAAATTTATAAAAAGAAGAATTAAAAATCAATATAATAAAAAAATTGATAGTGCAATATAAAGATTATTGAATGGAACAACAAGAAACAAATGATTCGCGGTTTGTTTCTAGAATGTAAAGAATTTCACACTTTTCCTTAGCGTTTGTATCAACTTTATCTCATAGTACTAGGATTGTTTGGTAAAAGAACAAGGAAGGAATGTTTTATGGAAGCAGACAGATAGCTATAGCGAAACTGTTCTCATTTTCTAGAATTCCTTCGATTTTCGTTTATCTATCTCAATACGTGTTCAAATCTATATTTGAAATAACACAAACATTTTTTATGATAACAAATATACATTTTTAATTATTACAATAAATTTAATATTTTTTACACTTTTACTTAATGACCAATTTCTTTTTTTATATTCGAGAAAATTTTATCTAATATTTATTGTTTTGTAAATACACAAAGAAATTATGCAGGCATTGAAATCTCCACAAAATCACTAAAAGAGAATCACATTTCACTTATTCATTATTTAAAAAAACGCGTTATAACATTAATTTCACAAAAGAAGAATTCATTTTTAGATCCACTTCCAATGCTATTTTATTATTTTGACAAATTAACAGAGGAATAATTCTTTAACTCGAAAGGAAGATAGTTCGACGAAGAACGTAGCATATTGAGCACCGCTGAAGGTAAAACACAGGTAATATACCTGCCTGAGGCTACATCCATCCCCACTTGGAGTCCGGTTCTCTCTCCTTGGTCGACTCTCAGCTTTTCTCCAAGCTGAGTCGGGCCGTTAGTGTCGTTGTCGTAGGAGAGAATGATAGTAATGTGTATCACGGAGTATCGGGCACCCTGAAGGACGTCGATCGTTGAGTATTGGTCCTCTTCTTCTTCCTCGTTTCCTCTTCATATATCGGGTTATCAAATTCGGTCATTGAATTGAAAGCTTTCTCACTTCTTGGACCAATTCGTTCTGAATGGTTCGTGATCTGTTTCGTGATTCACTTTTTCACGGATGCTCGATAGTCTGGAGGACGACAACGACTACTTGTTCCTCAATATCTATAGCTTGCAGTGGTGTCGTGTGAGGTGAATGTAACGCTTGATCAGAGTGGAATCTAGAAAGAAAATCGACGAAAAATAGAAAAGGAAAAAAAGAAGAAGAAGAAGAGGTTACCAAAATGCCTTGTTCTGCGGTGACGCTGTCCCTCGCGACCATAACCGGTATCATTGCCACTGGCCTCTTGGCAATCGCCTTTTCTACAGACAACTGGCTCTACACCGAGGTTAAACGCGCTCAAATCCAGGTTCGTAAATCGAATTTATTTTTTTTTACAAGTGTTCTTTTTACGATGCAGTTGTGAAATCTTTCTGTAAAGAATTTAGGATGCCACGTTGTGCTTTTTCACATCTTCCATGTTTTTGTTATATCTTTCAAATTCCGTTATTTGTGAAATATTACAGATCATGTGTCGTTTCTACTTAATATATTTTCTTTTCTGGTTTCTTGATCGAAATATTTTTTCCTAGTGCACGATATCATCATTTTGATGTCTCACTTTTACATAGATGACTTTTATAAATCCGTATGTAGGATATGAACGTTTTAAGAACATTACGGTATTCTTCACGATGTTTTCTTAGAAGAAACACTATCATCATCGATTCTATCATCTCAGATATACCAATAAATACTTATGGTGAATTTTCATGAATTTCAAGATGGAACGTCATTTTAAAAATTCGAATTTATAGCAGGATCAGGTCAGGAAATATGTGTTATAATTCTTAATAATGTAGAAACATTGTTCTTGATTCGTGATTCGATTAATAGTGCATTACATGGAAGAATTATAGTAAGTGTATTTAAATGTTCGTTTATTGTTTCACTATTTCGTTGTTCTTTTAATTCCGTTGTAATTCTTCAACGAAAATATAAATTGCAATTCTGTATTTCACAAACTCTATTGATAATCAAATTAATAGGAATCTGATTTCTCAAAAAATATTAAAACATTAAATAATAAATCTGCAATAAATCATTGAAATTATTTTTTCAAATGGTATATATAAAATACAATGAATGTTTGACTATTTTTTTAAAAAATAGTTTTTATCTTTATGACAGGAAGTAAAATCTCTTCGACTTCCGTCGTCCTTGTCACAGGTGAATGTTCGGGTCGAAGGTCAAGTTCATTCTCGAGGGCGTTGCGAGTGTCAGTTGAGTGGAAGATATTCTCACGAAGCTTTTATGAAATATTCTACAAAGAAACCGTGTTGCATTTATAGCAAACTATATCATTCTTCTGTGTTTCAATATGAACACATCACTTAAAATTCGATCTTCTCAATATCCTGAAAAATACTACTGTATTATTATTTTACTATATTATTATATTATTATTTTAAATTAAAAGAACGATTAATTTTTTGATAATAAGATTACAAGAAATTAAAAACAGGCAAAGAAAATAGAAAATAATTATTTTTTTAAATGTTTTGCGTTAAATACTGAAAATATATATCTTCGGTTTTTCCATGAATTAATCCATGAAAATAATCCATGAATTTTAATAATTAAGTTACAAATAATAACATTTAAAATAAGATTTGTATAATTATTATTAAATTTACCTGAGTCTCTTTAGAATTTCATTGATTAATTAATTATTCCATGATAAATAATATAACAAAACATTTTGTAGCATTCTTTTTTTTTTATTTCGCTTTATTTATGCGTATAATAATATGGTAAAGAACATTTTACAAATCACTATTTTCATTTGTCACGCAACCACATCAAAACAAATGATTTCAGTTGTATAGTCTTTAATTTTCCGTGACGTATATATAATGATTTAATCTCATAGAATTTCAACTGACGAGATTAAGTATTAATAGAAGATGTATCAAAGCAATACATATCACATTCATCGTCAATGATAAATCTCTTTATTCTATAAACCGTGTAAAATCTTCATAAACAAAAACATACTTCTTGATTACTAGCTAACCTAAAATCCAGTTACAGAATTTCTTCTCGGAATGTTCAAAAATATTTGTTATAGGAAAATTATCAGGTTTTCATATCGTGGTTCTATAGAGTATAATTGCTCAAACAATTTGATTTCGGCCAAACGTGTTTCTAGTTTGCGGTGTGTTTGGAATGATCGACATTCTGGGCCGCGCCCATTTTCAGCGCTTGTCGTCGACTCAACGAGTTTTGCGTTTAGCCGTGCTAGAGAGCACGCACAGCAGCGCAATCGTATGCACTCTCCTTTATAGGAATCAACCGCGGATCGAGACGAGACGTTTTTCTCTTAAACGTAAGTACACTGCGATTTCGTTCGCACGCAGCTTTCTTCTGATTCTTTATTTGGTAAAGTTCAAAGAAAAACAATCCAATCGCCTCCATAGAAAACTTTCTTGCTGATTCAACGAGGAACGAGAGTTAGAGTCTTATTAATAATAATTCTATCGTTGATATTCTGTTTCGTTGATATTCCTTTTTTTATTTTTGAATGAATTGATCAGTTGTATCCATTAATATATTAAAATGTATGATGCCATAATATAAAAATAAAGTTGACATCTTTTATGCTTCCACTTAGAAAAATATTTTTACATCAAATTATATTATTCTGAAAATAAAATAAATTTTCTACCAAGAACACTTCTTGGAACAAACAAATTATTTGACAGAAAATTGTGTTCAAAGATTCAGTGAGATAATATATATAACAATATATTAAATTTCTATCATTGAAGGATCTCGATTAAGTTATATCAGGATTTTCTTCTTTTTAGAATTTAGATGGATTTTAAATTACTATTATCTATGTAAAAATTTATGTATTTATTTTTCGTTTATGGAGACATCTGTTACTACATCTGGAACACATTTTTAATTTTATTATTAACTTTCTTTCATATATTCTTTCATCATTAGTTTATATTAATTGATAGATTTTTATTCTGGAATAAACTAATGAAAGAAAGAAAAAATAGGCTCAGTAGATCGTTGTTTTGTAAAATTTTAGTTTACTGGACCGTGAAGAAAATATTCGCGGTCAAAAGACATCAATTGACACAAATATCCGATTTAGCACGAAGAAACAATCAAAATGTACACATCATCTTTGGACGACGTCCAAGAAGAAAAACTTGTCGTGATCCATCATTATGATGCCGAGGATTTCTCAAATAGTCGATGGCGTTGTTTTTAATCCAAAGTCTCTGTGTTTAGATTCATAATTTGGTCTGATGTATAATCGTTTTGATGTATCAAATGTTTAATGTGTTTCTAATTGCAGCAACCCAAATATATTAAATTTCTAAAACAAATATATAATATAAGGAAACAAAATATAACTATTTAAGCATTCTATAATTTATTTTTACCTCTATTTGGGAACTTAAATAATTATTAAATAAAAATAGGTAATTAAATCTTATGGCATCTTTTAATTGCAATATTATTTTAAATAAAAATTTTAATAATCAATTAATTAATAATTATTTTAATTATCTGGAACATATATAAATAAAATTGTAAACATATGTAAATGCTGAAAAAAATGTTAAGAAAAGTAATATAGATTATACATCTTTATTTTTGTATCTTTGAAAATCTTTCTAAATCTTTCTAAATTAAAATTTATTATATAGTACATTATATAATATCCTTTATTTTTTAATAAATCTCATTAAATAAATAAGATTTGATAAATGAAAGTAAAATAAAAATTTCCTTAATAATTTAAATTTATATCATATGTGTTTTAAATAACATGTTAATCCTTTAAATTATCCTTTGAATTATATTGACATTATTTTGTGTATACAATATAATGTCCTTGTTGTATAAATATATATCTTTCATTGTTGATATTACATTGTAAGATGAAAAATAAGAAGATTTTCAAGAAGCAATATATAGAAATTTTTTCATAGGTTTCAAGAATTTACAAAAATTATTTACTAAAACAAAATACCTGAAAAATAGAAAATAACATTTGATCATTTATATGTATATATCAAAAATAGTTTCTCTACTAAAATTTTATATTAAATAAAACTAACTATATTATGTTAAAATAAACTATTTGAAAATTAATTTAAAAAAATAATTAATTATTTGTTAAATGCTCAGAGTCATTTACTAGCTTATTTATAAATTAATCCAACTAATATTGATCTCTTGTATTGTTGCGATTTCCACATGGTAAAATCAACAGTGTGGTCGATAGAGAGGCATATGACGTACCGAGCTCTGTTATTTTCACCAGCGTTCCGAGCGCGTTTACCTTGGTGAACGCAGCCGGTGAGTACGCATTAGAATAAAAATGTCGGCTTGCTCTCCCCCGTCACTCCCGAGCAGAAGATCCGTACATACAGTTATGCTATTTGTACCATCTCCACTTGTATAGTGTAAATAATTACAGCTTTCCTATCGTGCAGTGTTCGATGGGAGTAATGTATAATTTCCACAATCGAGGAGTTATGCTGCCATATGGAATGCTTCTTTTTCCCAGAACTTATTTGGTACAAGAATCCCGTTGACCTTTGTGCTCATTTCCCTTTCTCGATACCCGTATACCTTTTTCATCAGTTAATCCTTAGTTGAGACCGATTTGGTAAGACTTAACATGGTTGTTTGATGAAATTGAGCTTTGAAGATGAGAAAGATACTGACTTTTCTTCTGCTATGATATTGTGAAACGAGAAAGGGAATTAATGTTGAATATGGAGAAATGGATATTGGTTGATGTGATTGCTTTAAAAAATAAATTAATATTTGTTGCATATACCTATTTTAGTTTTAAATGTTTGAAGCAATAAAAAAGTAGCTTCACTTTTTATATTTTCATATTTTTTGTTATTAAAAATGTAATTTTTCATTAAAAAGTTTGTTCGGAATAATAATTATAGTAGTCTTGCAACTTACAATATAGCAAAAAAATTAACTTTACAAGTATCGATAGAAATGAAAATCAAAAGGAAAATATTGATTATAATGATTGATTTTCAATTCATTGGCAAGTTACAAAAATTCATTAATAATTAAAAGTTGTAAAATTTAAAAATGTAATTTTATAATAAATTATATTTAATATTTTTTTTAATAATTATTATTTAAAATTAATAATTTGATATTAAATGATTTAAATGATATACAGAAATAGATAATATGAATATAGTATTATTTTTATTGTATTATTATTATTATTATTATTATTATTATTATTATATTATCTCTAAATATATTATTATAATATTTATAATAAATTTATTTTTTAGTTACTATTTTTTTTTTATTTTAACACAAAAGATAAATCTAATATTTAAATTTTATTTATTGAAAGAAAAAGAAAAATATAAGTTTAAAAGTAAAAGTTATATTAGTTTATAATAAAGTTTATAATAAAAAATATATTTGATATTTAATTATTTTTTGTTTTATACAAATAATTAGAAAATAATTTTTTTTTTGTGAATAAAAAATTATTGAGTTCGAAGATTAATCTCTGATAATATTTTGCAAAAGATATATTTGTTTCTTTTTTATATCGGTTTCTATTATCAGCTTGTTTTAACCGGAAACCATTGTATATAATACTTGCACCTGTTGCATAGAAAGCAGATCATACTTGTTTTCATTTCTGAAACAAAGCCAACTAAGTACGTGACTCTCTATATCATATTATATACATTACATTTATCTTCTGAAATCAATTAAGGTAAGATTAAGATTAATGTCGAATCCCTTATTTTAAAATTATTATTTGAATTATCCAATTGAACACGCAAAGCGAGAGAAGGAGTAATACAATAAAGAATTTGTGAATAAAATTAAAAGAAATTATTCAAGATATTAAGATTATATCAAAATTGCCAGGAAATATGAACATCTGAAACAAAGGAATAGCACAGAATTCACACGTCTGAGTTTAAAAACCTTGAATCATGAGAATAAACCTTGTTTTTCGATGGTCCAGTGCTCGTCAACATTCATGTGCCAGTCACACTTCAGAGCATTGAATAATGTTTGAAGCTTCTGCGACCAGTCGTGATCGTAGCGTGACTGGACCGCTAGTGTAACTCGAACTTAATCGATCACCATGCTTGTAAATCGTTATAGCTTATTGAGAGTTGTTTCTTAGTTCTTATTTCTTCTTTTCTTTCTTTTCGAAAAATTATTCAAATCTTTTACCTATAAATATTAATCCGTAATTAATCATTGAATCATAAATGCATTTATTCTTCATTATTCTTTATTATTCAATCATTGATTTGTGTGATTCCTTAGTTGATTTCTTCGTTAATATACTTATATTATAATATACTTATTGTGACATGTGTTAATATATTCTTATTGTGACATGAATTTTATTCTTACGAAACTATCTGACCTCAGCAAAAAAGAAAAAGCACATTGATGTTCTTCAATTGTTATGTCATCAGCGTTCCAATGATGCAATGAAAATCATTTATTGAATTCGTTAATGTATGTATCATTATACATTAACTGATTATTTGATCCATTAAGATATATAAATTAATAATTAATGAATTAATGTATATCAATAGAATATTTTAAAATAATCCAATATAATGTAAAATAAAATAAGATTGAAGATTATTTCTAATAAAAAAATCGAAATGTCGCTAAAAATCTTAAATGAAGTTTGGATTATTAAAAAAATTTTGAATATCTTGTATATTTTAATATAAAAGATGAAAAAAATAAAAAAGTTATTTTCAATGATTCTGAAGTCAGGTTCAGAAGAAAGTTTCAAAAAATTTTCTTTAAAACTAAATTGTTCAATGTAAAGCTAAAAGTTTAAAAATTTCATATATAAAATCTGCATTTTAAACTAGCGGTCATTTAATATTTAAACGATTATACATTACAAGAATACCAGAGCTATTGCGGGAACGATCGGAATGTCGTTTTCAACAATAAACCTCTCTGCGACGTACTTTCATTGTTGCGCAAATTGCTTATCCCTGTTGATTGTTCAAACAAGATATTGTAGGAATGAGGAAAAATATAAAGAGATTTATTCGCGATTCCTGAAATCTCCTGTCTATTTTTTACTTTACTTCACATACTTTACTACTACTTCATATATATTTTACTAAAATTCTTCCCCGAATATTCAAAATTATATTGTTCTACACTTTTATGCAAAAATAGAACTATTCATAATAAAATTTTATTCGATGAAATGAATATTTTAATCTAATATGTTTTTATTTAATATATCATTTTTAGTATATCTTTGTCATTGTAAAGTAAAAACTCTGTAAAATAAAAACTTCTTTCATCTTGATTTTTGAATTAAATATAAATATTCTATAATTTTTCAATAGATATATTGCTTATATTTTGACCATTTTAACCTAAAATTTGGCGAATATTTAAACATAAATTAAACATTAAACATAATATTTTCAATCACAATCAAACCACAATCAAATCGCAAATTTTATAAACAACCACATATATAAATGTTTTTTATAAGCAGGAATAAGAAAAAATATAAAGAATATTTTTATTCATGATCAATTTTAAAACCTTCAATGAACAATTAGGAAATTTACACCTACTATCAAGGCGCCCTCTTGTTTAATCTTCATCACTTTGCTTCTATTGCACAATATAACCTATTAGGTAATCTTTCGAATGATTATTACTTTCATATATCATATATATATATATATATATATTTTTTGCCAAAAAGTAATTCAGTGCGTGAGTTAATGTTTATAAAATCAATACATCATTGTTTGAGGATAGTTTGACGGCACAATTCCGGTTTACAAATGCCACAACCGTGAGAATTCGGGCTATGTTATGTTATACACAGTGGAGCTTTATTGGGTAATCGAAAATCGCGAGCAACGGAAAGAATTTCGTAATCATTTGCTGAATTCATGTTTCTGTTTTATTGTTTAATATTTCTTTTAAAATATTTCGTTGATTCATCAATAAATTTTTTTATTTATCAGATTGAATAACAAAGAAACTAATAGATAGCATTTAACAAAATAACCTCTAATTGAATTTTATAAAATCCACACAATTTCATAATTTAATTAAATATAAGTAATTCCTTTAATAATATATTTATTAATACAACAAATTGCAATGAATATTCTTTTAAATTACAGATGCTTTTTTGAAAAAGACAAAGATAAAAATTGAAATGAAAAGATAATAAAGGTTATAAATTGTTTAATTATAAATGAAAGAAATTCCAAAATTAAATATTTATATTAAAGAAGATATAGGTTATAAAACATTAAGAAATATTTTCGTTTGTAAATTACATAATTGATATAGCTAAGCTTTCACAAATCAAATGACAAAGTCGACTGTCAATGTCTATTGCCTTCAAAAATAATGATTGTACTCATCGAGGTGAATCAAGAAATAGGCTAACGATAGAGGATTCTTTACTTGTTGCACAAGTACTTACGATTGCAACTCGCATAATTTGTCCGAGTGCATGTGTTTATTATGTTGATGAGTGAACAGTGGAATAGCAGTCATAAGGTATAATTGAGGTTCCATTGAAGAAATTGTGACATAACCGGAAGATCGATTCAGGGTGCAAATTACAAAGGAAACGTAATACAAACGATGCGTCCTTGCATTCGACATATTATGATGCATTATATTACCATTTGATTGACTTCTTTTTCCTTTGTCCTTTGTCAAGGTATGTATATATATTAATATATACATAAATACCTTTATAAAAAATTGAAACGTTTTATAAAATATTAACTTTTTAACAGTATAAATGTTTAAATAAAATTGAATAGGCAACATGGAAAATAATTATAGTTTTATTATCAAAATTTTTGGGATTTCTGACATCTAACACATAAAATAGAGATTTGAATAAGTTTCCTCTACATTTTTTTTTTGCATTTTATAATTACAGATTATTTTATAAACAGATTTGCATTATATATAATAACATTTAAAATATAAAGTTTATAAAGAGTTTTCTTAAATCTCTCGTGAAATACACTGTCAATAATTTCTTTTCAATTTTTTAATTACCCATAAGAAAAAATAATTAGTGTTGAGAGTGAACGATATGAGATTACGAAGAAATTAAAATTTCATAGGAAAATTAGTAAATTACAGACGTTTCCGGCTATGTGATTTTCAACGCACATAACAGGTGATTACGCGAAAGGAATGCTAGAAACTGCTGAGAAATTACATCCCTTACGTTCTGCTGTCAGTGCACGGAATTATATTGCTTGAAATAACGGAACCCTTCGTTTTATGTTCCGAATGCTCAACTGGATGAATTGCTCGAAACTCGAGGGAAACTACAGGAACTGAGATAACTGAGATAAACATAAAATCACTTGAATTGTAAATTTTTCATAAAATCATATTTCTTTTATATCATATCAGTATAAAATCAAAATATTTAAAAGTTTTTATTTTAAAGTAAGTTTAAAAGTTTTATTTTATTTTATATTTAAAAATTTTTTAATTATTTTAAAGTTATATAGTTTTTTAAAGTCTATAGTTTTTTAATTTATAAAATAAATTATATAATTGATATTTTATTTATTAATATAAAATAATTACATATATTATTAATAATAAGTATATTGTATGTTAATATATAATAATAAAATTGAAAAATTTAAATTCATTACTTAAATTAATAATAAAACAAAATCTCGTCTTTTTTCAATTTTATTTCATAGAATATATAAAACAATGTATTATAATTTTTTCCTGATATAAATTAAAAACAATAAAATTCAAAATGAAGTTTTTTAATCCCTAATCTATACA